CATTCTCCACTGCAATAGTTAGCTTCGTAACGTTTGGGAGCTATAATCCAATCCCATCCGAATTCTTCGAAGTCTACTGTCAGCGGATAACGACAGCATCGCACTTCGTTCGAATTCTCTTCACAATTCAACCCTATCATACGTTTTGTGCGGCGACGGCGCTGCTTGTCTATTTTCATTTCGATAAATGGTCTCTGCAAGGAAATACGTAAACTTATTATTCAAACCACTTTAATATATGTTCTGTTTATTCTAAATCTTAGTCAAAAAGTAACAGAACAAATTTAGGAATATTTCATTTTGCTGAAAATCATCATTAATTAAAGATAAACTTTTTCAAGATCAACCAAAACTGTTCCTAGAATAAACTAATTATCACTTAAGATAATGTTCTTACCCATGCTTCTTCACCTTCTTTCGGTTCCGTAACAGCTAATTCACGTCCTTCACTGTCGTACGAACGAATAGCAAAACCTAAATTGTCCTTCGGATGTCTCAGCCATCTAGATACAATTTTTCTCACGTCGATTGTTGCCCAGCCTCCATGTGTCAACTTTGTGTCCACTTTCTTTGCTTTAACCTACAAAAAATAAAAAAACTAATTAAATTAAGTTATTTTAATCATTTTGTAATTGAGCAATTCCTTATAAATTTTATAAAAGAGAACGATATTTTGTCAAATTTATAAAGTCAACCTTACTACTGTTTATATAATTATTGAATTTATATCTTTTAACTCATCACCTTCTGATATAAAAAGCCAATCATTATTGGAACGAAATCTTATCTTTAAAACATTTTTTAAGTTTTAGAAAACCATTCAATAACTTCACAACACAAACATAATTCAATATTACAATTTATATATAGAAAATAATAAGATAAAAATTCTTAAAACAATCATTTTTATTATAATTTTAAAAATTTGTATCCGTAAATAAATTGGCGATAAGAAAATTAGGATTTCTAATAATATTGTGGACTCATGTCTGGCAATTACGAATGCAGACACGCAATACGTGACAAAAGTTAATATCGAGTAAAGTAGTACAAGGCATGCTTCAGACGGGCGGGCACCACTTCGTGATTATGTAATTGTGGATCGTTACAGATACACACGCATTGAATGCTATCATCAATTGGATTATTTAAAGACCTGTGTTTCTGTCGAAAGTAAATTGATATTCTAGCCAGTTAATATTTTAAACGCGATTTCAGATACGACAGGGCCAAAGTTAAATGTACATAATATTTATTTATAAAAATACGTTCTTTTAAATTGTAGTTAATATTACTTTGTACTAAATCCGTTAAATGCATACTTAATTACTGAATTAATAGAAAATATTCTTTCTAAATGTCTACAATTTAATAATAATAAAATGTTTTACAAATATGTTTAGTATAAACAATTTATCAATATGGATTATCTGTGTATATCTTGGGTGCAAAGTAAGGGCAAAGACTACATCGATAAATGCGACTTGTATGAAGTAGGAAAAGCTATATATATATATATATAGGAAAATTGAATGTGTGATAATTTTGTCAAAAGCCTGGGATTAAATGATATCCGTAGGGCCAGTGAACTTACATGTAATAAAGATGGTGAAGTCTCGCCTCTCATCACCTGATAAACCACTATCCAGGCAATAGAATCGAGCGAGGACGGGGTCGGACGTATATACAACCATAAGTGGGCTCCTGTCACGTGCGAGTTGATCACGTTAGCCGAGAACTTAAAGTACTGATAGCGATAGTCGGCCGGAAAATTCCATTTAATCGAAGCTGAAAAATAAAGCAACAATTTATATTAGGTTCATAAATATTCATATTTATATTAACAGATATGAAATTTATTGGCTTCCCAACAGCTAAGTATTTATTATTAGCTTTCGCACAATAATTTTTATCGTTGAAGGTTACTGATAAACAATCTGGTTTTCGACCGCGAGATGACCCTAATTCATTTCGTTGGCTTTTCGTGTTCTTGATATAGGCTATGTCGGTTGATGCCCTTCTCCAAAATATCTGTCCAAATTAAATATATGTTTATAGAAGAATATCTAATCATTTATTTTAGCACAGTAGCCGTAAAATTGTAAATTAACACATATTATTCCCACATTTTGACACAGTCTTAGGTGCAGGAAGTTTACTACCTGATTTGTCTATCTGACGATCAAAAAGTGAAAGGTACTTGGAGACAACAATACGTGTACAAAACATAGTGACTGTGATCAAAGAAACCCTTCTACTAAAGTGACCTTTCCCACACCCTCTACACGCAGTAGGCAAGAAAGTGCTCCACTTTCAGGGGTAAACATCTATACAGAATAAGAGTAAGTCTTTCTTTCCCCAATGGCATTCGGCTTTTGTCTGCTGACCGTAGGGTGCGCAACCTATGCCGGGAGAGCGGGGTCAACCAGCCACAAGTGCGTCCTACTACCGGATGGAGTAAGGTTTTTCCGTACACCAAGGTTTATAGTATGTACACCACCCATCAGTTAACTACTGACAGACGTTTTGTTCAGCTATGAGAAAAGTGTGGCGGGAACAGCATTCGTTCTTTACCCTTTCATACCATTTCCTCCGCTCAAAGAATCACTTTTCCTCTCTATCGTTTCATTGAGTTATATCAGCTTATACTAGAAAGGACTCATAAAAAACGCCAATGACGTCGAGGAAGTTCTTTTCTTATGCGAATAAGTTCTACTAAATAAAATTCGTGATAACGATCAAAATTACTCTCACTAATTAAACATAATTTTAAAAAATTGTAAAAATCATATCTTGCAATGCTGTAAGCTTGTTATAATCACAATACTTTCTTTCAATTTTAGTGATTGAATATTACTCTGAAAGAAAATCTCTCCCTATGCATTAATAACTAATGTCCCAGAAAAAAAAATATTGATTGACGCTGTATCCAAAGACCGCATATTATTACTGATTTTATATGGTGTAATCCCCAGGGTGCAAAAGTGGCCCCCCATCCCTCACAACTTACTCATATGGTATAAATAAAAAAAAAGGAAAGTGGCCATTTAACAATCGAGAAAAATGCACAGTTGAATCTGTTTTTAAAAAATAAAAGGGATGGCAATTTTTATTGTTCTAAACACTGGGTTTATAGTTGTTTGCGAAATCATATTTTTGATTTAATTTCCATTCATCAAGATCCATGTGTCATCTTCTCGCGAGTTTGTCACACAAAGACCACTTTCCGCTTTATGGCTGGCAGAGTAAAGCAGCAGCTGGGAGATGTGAGGCCTCTGCGTACGGGAAACGTTGCCAACCATCTAGGGAATTTGCGGAATGGATGGGGGTGGGATAGATACTATTCGTGTGAATGATCTACGGTGAATGTGACATCGAAAGTTGCATCAACCTGTCCGTTTTTAAAATGCTTTAAAATGTTTGTCATTTTTTTCTCCAATATTACGAATTTTCCTCATCACGTAAAACATACGAAAAAGTATAATATTGCTTTTAATGATTTATAAATCTATTTATTAACGTAGTACTACGTATTCAATAATTTTCATTTAATAAAAACATATTATTATTAATTTTCATAATCTGAAAAGCTTTAATTGTAAAAATGATTACTCTAATAACTTATAGAAGAGAATAAAATCAATTAACACTTACGACTTTGACCGAAACTAATAAGTTTTTCAGCAGTGACATGATAATCATCTACTTCCTCCTCAAACTGAGGTCCAGGCATGAAAGGTTCTCCGGGAGCATCTTTTTGCATATCGTACTGATCGAGTAATTGGTGAAGAGGTGGAATTTTCGGCACTGCCTTTCCGGAGATGTTGGGAGGATGACGAAGACCGAGTTTACTAAGGATCTCAGATTTAATTGCGTCTATCCTTAGTGCTTTCATGTCATCGTGCATTAAACAACGTGAACAATTGCGTGTCATTTGTACTTCCTGGTCTTCTGTTCTGTTGTCGTGTTCTTCCGATTTGAAAGTATTAACCACGTCGTCTAATTTCCAAGAACCATTGTTATGTCTGTCCCATTCGTCAACAAAGTCTTTGATGGCATCTTCTAATCGTTCCCCATATAATGCTCCATCAACAGTAATTCGTCCGCTGGTGTGCATGCACGCTAACATTGAAACCAAAGTAATTAAGCAAACATAAGTTGTCCAAGTAGGGGCCATGCTGGCTGCGGTTATGCAGCTGACGGATGGCGGGGTACTGCTGGGTGAAAGCGACAAGTGTAGCACTGCTACTCTTCCCCGTTTTTATAACGGTGTTCGCTGCATTTTTGGAAAAGGCACGCCTTTCGTCGATTGGCATAGAACACTCGACCTACCAGGGACTTGGATGTCGTCCCAGCTGGCCAGCAGACCAATGAGTGAGTTGCTGGGTGCAGGAAACCCTAGCAAACGGTTCGCTGGTCGGCAATGCATCGAGTTGGGTCCTAATATGACACGAGCATTTTAAGTGTACAGTTATTTTATCAGTTTGATTATATGTGTAATAAGGATTGATCGTTCCCGCCTTACAATCTCTTCAAAAATCACCCTTTAATAAACGAATGATGAAAACAATTCTAAATTCTCCCTTTTAAAAGATAAATTAGTTAATCGTGTCTCGAAGCGAAGGCCGTTTCTATTGGGTTAATTTTTCTATTCAATATAAACTTTGACCAATTATTCTTACGTTTAAAAGTGAATCAAATATGGTTAATAAAGGGTTAAGGAAAGACGTCAAAGGTGCTGTAATATATTAAGACTTTAATATCAAGTTCACAAAGTTTAATAATAAGGAAGTGTATTTCACTCAAAAACCGATTTAAAATTCTAACATTTCTTTAGTTGAATACGCAGGGCAAAATTCATTAACTCAATTTCATGTAAATCGGTTAAAACGCAAATATCTATGCTAATTTATTATATTTATAAATAATGAGATTACTTTTTACCGTACTCATAGTAAATCTCTCAAGATTGGTGCACAAATAACTTCAGTAGAAGATAATAGCTATTATAGGTCTTATGTAAGTGGAACAATCTGTCACTACAGTCATCGCGCACCGATTTGAATTCATTAAGAAAGCTTATATTTAAAAAAAACTGCATTAAAAGTTAGTTGCACAAAATTTAAAAAACATCACCCGAAAAATGTTCTATTCTGTATTTCACATAAAACAATGAGAATGAGATTACGAAATAAACTGTAATCACCAATTACTGAGCATAGGTATGATTATCATATGATTGTCGTGTATTGTATTTTGACAGAATTTAATAATCTCGGAGGCTTCGATACAGATTGAAAAGAGAGACTATGAGTGTTTATAGATAGAGAAAGATCCAAGAGTGACGGCATACCTTACTACTGAGCAGATACTCGATGAATTAATAATGTTATGAGAAGTTCATAGCAACATTTGTTATTCATCCTATACTTTGTAGCCCTGACCCAAAACACTGTTGCTAGGCGGTGCTGACTGTTACATTCCGGTCGCCTCACCCTTACTTGACCTACCATCCGGATGGAGTCCAATGACGAAGAAACGATATTTTGGAAATATATTTTGATTCGGATAGGAACTCTGATAATGGAAAAATAAAGCCCCAGAAAGAGTAAGTAAACTATACTTTTGTCATATCTAACCGTAGTAACGACGCAGGCTAAGTTGCGGAAGTGACTTGGAAGTTGATAGAGGTATTTATTGATAAAAATTTTTCTGAAACGCGCCTCCTTTTTTCTCAAAAGTACAAACATTATCCTAAAGGATGGAGTGCATATTTTCATCAAAATGTATTTGACATGGAATTCCACCTGCGTAACACATACTTCCCGTTTAGAGGAACTTATAACGCCTACCTGAATACTTCTCTTGAGATGCATCCAAATTCGCTGCCTAATTTTGGTTATGGTGATTCAAAGACGATCTATACATAGTATCTACTTTGGTCTAAGCGTTCTATCAACAACATAAACAATGTCAACGTGACTTTAATATATGAAGACGCACATTTTAGAGAGTACTGACCGGCGTCCTGCTCCAGCGTTTATTGACATTGCTCCATCGCTTTGTGCAGTCGTAACACATCCAGTACTTGTTGCTATCGAAATCTTAATAAAATTAATTAATAGAGTATTTAAAGAGCGTTTTTCTTTCTTCAACAACGACTACTTTTAAAACTACGCAAATATAATACACTTATCTAAATATATTCAATTCGTAATTATTATTATTTCGTTGGAGATTGTAATACTTTAAGAAGTTCCCAATAAAACTTCACCTTTGTTACTACACAAATAATTTGATATATAAATCATAATTCAACCAATTCTTGTTAGATTTACTAATAAAGCTGGCCTATAGTTTAAATTTGCTGCATTCTTTAGTTTTACGTCATCTAATATCGCAATATAATCGAACCGATTCTTTCTAGAAAGTTTTCTTAAAGTTATCATCAACTATATGAAGGACTTTGCCAGGTCAAATGAATATTAATGCTTCGTTATCAAAAATTTCCGTTTATTTATGAAAAATATAATCATAAGCTAATAAAACAAAATGAACCTTCGACACTAAATTCGAACCAACGTTTTAAATTAAGCTTACAACCAATTGTTCTTTTATACTTATAAGAAACTGCCATTAGAACAGGAAAATGATTGTATTTATTATCGCGTAAATATAAAAAATAAATAGACTTCATAAGGTATATTTGATTAGCCCGTTGCGTCATTCTATTCATTGTTTAAAAATAGCAAGATTAATATATATTACAGAAACAATGAATCTGCAACGTAGACTACTATTTAGTATTTAATTTCATTTTCTGAACAATGAAAACAACAATTGAAAGATAAGAAAGTACAGAAAAAGTTTCTTTCGAGATCCAATCATTATTTAATCATCTGAATAACTTAGCTTTAATCAAATCAAAAATNACATTTAACTATAAATCAATATGAATAAAAGAAGAAGAATTATCCAATTAATTCATTATTAACTTATAGAAGAGGCACATTATTTATTTTTGCTATTCCTTTTATAAAATATTAGTTTAGTCAATTTTGACCTTAATAACACGTCAATAACATTAAAATACAACGTATATTTCCTGATCGTTGAATAATCGAATATTGATATATCAATAATATATTATGAAGTAATCGAAGTTTATAGTTAAAGCAAAAGTTAAAAATAGAAATGAAAAAGTATCCCAGATATTTCGATCTGTTTTAATTAATCTGCAAGTTAGGAGAAGGAAAGGTTTTTCTGATAATTTGAATCGTCACATAAATTAATTTAGATTTAATTATTAAAATTAATGATGTTATTCGCGTTAATATGAAAGTCAAGGCTATTAGTGGGTAGATATTGGACCCTTTGAACACAGTTTTTCCAGTCAAAGGTTAGCAACTGTGTATCAAACATGAAACGAAATCAACACGATACGTTTTTATTTTTCATTTAACGTCAAAATAGTTTTCTAAGATTTCTGTTTAATTTAATTACTGATTTAACTCTTTACTCATTGCGTAACGTAAAGGAAAACTTTTTTTCTTTTTCAATTTCATGCTTAGAGTCTATCACATTTTAAATTTGGAAATTAATTACACAAAATTTTCAAGCTGCTAAAAATACAAGAAAAATTACTTGGATAATTTAAATAAATACGTTTATAATATAATATTATTTAAAAGAAAATGATAAACTATAATAGAAAGAAAGCATTAATATTTTGGATTAAAATATTAATTGCTGTTTCGTCCAACAGATGGCAATATGTTACTTTAATACTTAAGATCGATGTTATTTTAATATAGGATCATCTTTAAACTAATTTTTTATTCGTGTTAGAAATATTTAAACTCATTCAAAAATCATGTAACAATTCTTTGCATTGTTATTTCTAATTTAAATATGAGGAAAAATAACTAGGAAGCATCCGTAAATATTTAAGTATAGCATTTCAACAATGCTTATTTCTTTTTATAAAGTATTTACATATAAAACTATTAGAACTTTAAAATACATTTCCTTTATATATTAACATATAGGAATAGGATTTATAAAAGTGTTAAAGTGTTAAATAAATTTTAAAACCAATATTCTATGCATTATGCACTAGCTCACTATTTGATATATATAATGCTTATTATAATTGTATATTAATATGATAATGTTATAATTTCATTATAGCATTATATTATTAGTATACATTTATAATTATACAATTATAAATCCATTATAATTCATTCAAAATTGAATTATAACTTCATGTTTAATGTCATCTAGGTTAACATTATTTAAAGCATTACTCAATTTGTTATATTTATTTAATGTGCCACTAAAAGATATATTGAAAAGAATTATAATTATAATTACAACCAATTTTTAAAATTCTACTTGTTGAACATGCAAAACTTATCTAAAATTATATTTATGTATAAATTGATGATTAAATATTGAAAGTTGTAATAGTTTGTTCAGAATTTACATCAAAAGTATTTAATATATGTCAAATTAATAGTAAAAATATGTTTTTGTAATAAATGTATTAAAAATTATACATATGTGTGTATTTCATATACATGTAAATACTGTATATGCATATATTAATTAATATTATAATATGTATATAGAACTATATTTTATGTATATCTATTTATATATTGTATACATAAATTTCAAAATTTATTATTAATAATATTTTTTTAAAATAATGGCAAGTTATACATAAATTTTACAGTATACAAAATATATTCAGTTTTAATTTTTTTTTTTCTTTTTAAATATTAAGTGCATAGAAAACAATAGATAACTGAATTTTATAGGATTAAATATATCAGTTTCATACATTAACCGGATAATTATATAATAAATAAGTTATCAAACGTATTAATAAATTTAATAAATGCAAAATTTTAATACTGAAATTGATCTACAGATGGCAGCAACGACAGATATCCTTATTTTATATTATTGGCTAGCTCATGCGTTAAACTCTTTTGTTTAATTTCCATCACATCCGTTTCGAGAGGATAATAATTAATGATATTTTTCCTTTGGTTAATTAATAATGCATCAGATGTTTGGAGGCAGAGAATTGTGGCAAACACCTGGCAGATACAGTCAGGTAAAGAGAATAGGAACATCTGGAAAAGCGTTAGAAAGCCTTACATAAATAGTAAAATGGTAAACAAAGGAAAAAAAATCTCAAAAGACACTTTGTCAGTTGTTTTATTTCTCACTAAACATTACATGTATCTCAAGCACAATTATGAATATCCTTAGGATAAAGTTTTGATTAATGCGGGTACTGCAGATGCATTAAAAATGTATTTTTATCTTTAGAAATTTAGAAATGAAAAACCTCATAGGTTCAATTAGAAAAGAGAAAAGATTCTGGGATTTATGTATCACCAACAAATATCATGTGGTTGTGCGTTCATATATAAATATATATATATATATTTTATTTATTTATTTATTTATTATATATATATATATATATTGTTAGCCAATGAATCATTACCACAATTTTAAAATTTTCACCGTTGATAATATTACTGTCCTTACCTTCTACTAATATTTTGCCTTTATTCAAAAGACATGGGTCATCATAGACATACCAAAGTGTACAATATCTTTTAAATCTATGATTTTATTAAATGCAGTAACAAAAACTTGTATAATGTAAGATCCATTTACTTCAACCAATGAAAAGAGTAGCATTTTTTTCCAGTTGATAATGTCAGAAAGTCTAACAAACTCAAACTTTCTTAATGAGAAAAAGTACTTCTGTTAATACAATTTGAACTAGCCTCTTCAACCATATAGTCCAAACAACAAGCTTGGAAAGTAATTATTACACATCTGCACTCCACAGTAAGTACAGTACATTAAACCAGTTTCTCCATTTCCCACTCACATTTTCAATTAGATTTGTATCAGAGCATATAAATGTAGTAACTTAAAATAGGTTCTGTTTTTCTTAAACTGTTTGCAGTCAAGGATATTTGATTATTAAGTGTAGGATTAATTTCACATAAACTTTACTCAATCTTTAAATATGCTTAAAATTAGCTGTTTTGTTTCCTTTCCTTGTCATTCTAGATGAATGTAAATTTAATTAATAAAAATAAATGAAAACACCAGTAATTAATTTAAAAATATTTTACTGCCAGAACTTAATTCACTAAAAACATATTTTTGAGCACTTTTCCAGACAAAATGTTTTTCACTTTATAAGCATGTGTTAGGTCCGTCACAAATTCCAAATTGGAATGTTAACCTGTGCAATGATATTCCAAATAAAAGTTTGGAATTTGTGACAGACAGAGGCAGGCTTTTGAAGTAAGCTGNCCTTTTCTCAAATTTGGGTCTATAATCCTTTGAGTCACAACTTCAGCTTTATTTAGTATTCCTTCGTCAAGTATTTGAAAGTATTTCCTTTTCACTCAAAAATAAAATATGTATAAAAGTTTACGGCTTTGTGAAACTTCTTTTTTGAGTTTATGTCGTTGAAATAAATAAATAAACAAAAAATAAAACAATTTGTCGGTTTTGTTTACACGTTTATTGGACCGCATTGGAACTTGCTTTGGGCCGCGGGTT